ACGAGTATCTGTATCGATAATTGATTAAAGTGATTAGAAAGACTTAAAGGATCTCGCTGATTTAAATAAGTAAACAGAACGATTGCGACGCAGTAAGATCTGGTTGGTAGACTTGCTGAAAGCAGCAAATTGCTCACTATGAATTAATTAGTCCATATTCCATCTAACACTAAGAATTATACTAGTTTATATTAAAAATTGCAAGATTATTAATTGGTAATTGATTGCCGCTGTAAATAAATTCACAATATTTAGATTGATTCTCCATATGCAGCTACGCAACAATGCGGAACTTACGCCAAATCATCTAAATGAAATTTCAACTACTGTAATTAGTACGTAATTTTTCATCTGAAAGATATGTAAAACCTGCAACGAATCAATAAATTAACAACTTGACAGGTTAGTAATGATGATTGGATCTGTACATCACATTAGCAAAGTAATAAGAGGCAAATCGACAATTACCAGGTTTGGACTGGTTGTGCGGGGTTCTTGTTGAGAGCAATTATTGTCAATAAAATTCAAATATTGATGTGATTCGCTGCCTAAATCTTTGTGAATATACTAGCTCTGTTGAGTATTGGTAATTATCTTTAATGACACAATCGTAAAATCAGCATCTGCTGATTGAAATCTTGTTAGATTTTAGATTTTAATTTTATCAAAAGGACATTAAATACAATTTTTGGTTGAGTTGGTGTTCCATTCGGATTTGTCTTACACCACACCGTTTATCAATACTCATTAACTCAGTTATTAAAGTATTACGTTGTTGTCCGTGTGATGCACCGCCTATATAGAAACGTCTTAAATGTCAGTTCGACTTTAGTAAGCCCCACTTAACCTATTTTTATTGGTTTTAATTGCTCAACTTTAGCAACTCAGCAACTGCATCCAAAGCTCAAGAATTCAGTTTCCATTCTCATTCTTCTCATTGCCATATTGTGGTTTTAATAGCGAGTGTCTTTTGCAAATGTTTTGTGATTTTATTTAAACATTCATTTATTTCTGTTGTGTATCTTATTTCTGCATAAATATTTCATTTTATGCGGCTCTTAAATGATAAGGGACTGAAACTGACAGTTTAATGTAGAAGCTAATGGTAATCATTGTAGACACCTAAAAAGCTTGTTTCTTGCTGTACGATTGTTTTTAATGCCAGGATTTCATAAAACAGACTTTTAAGTATAATTATCACTGACATAAGTTGGATTCAAAAACAGGTTAACCATCAGTTTATGGTACTATTCCATGCAAGCTGCTGACTACTGTTAATAGCTAGAACAAACATGGTATCGTTAGAGTCAAAATGGATGAATTTAAGCTATTTTTCAGTTTCAATATATTAGTAGCAACAGCTTCATAGAAAAAAGTTTATAGTGCACTGAAAATGATTTTGTCATAAAAATACCATAACAAATATCTTAGCCTCATCATAGAACGACGCCACATCAAAATCTCATTTTCAATCTGTAATGCAAAATAATATTTCGGTATAGAATTTAAAAGGAATATTAAATTAAAGGAATTAAATATTAAACTGGAATCTGCAACTTCCCTAAATGGAATGGCTTTAATACTAAAGCCCAGAAAATTTCTAGCTGACATGTTTCTATCACATAACTTAGTCTTATATGTTATATATATTTAGTTGAAGTACTAAATTTAATGAAATAATCACTTTACTTTACCGATAGATAGATAGATAGATAGATAGATAGATAGATAGATAGATAGATAGATAGATAGATAGATAGATAGATAGATAGATAGATAGATAGATAGATAGATAGATAGATAGATAGATAGATAGATAGATAGATAGATAGATAGATAGATAGATAGATAGATAGATAGATAGATAGATAGATAGATAGATAGATAGATAGATAGATAGATAGATAGATAGATAGATAGATAGATAGATAGATAGATAGATAGATAGATAGATAGATAGATAGATAGATAGATAGATAGATAGATAGATAGATAGATAGATAGATAGATAGATAGATAGATAGATAGACAGATAGATAGATAGATAGATAGATAGATAGATAGATAGATAGATAGATAGATAGATAGATAGATATATGGTTTAATTCTTCATATAATAATAAGAACACCGTGATATATGGAGTTTGGTCTGCTTTAATTTTTTATTTTTTTTTTGTTTTTGTTTATGTTTATAAGCGGATGTGATTTGATTAAAAAGTTTTGCACACATTCCATCAAACAAATTAAGTAAAAGAAGATGATGAAATTCAATTTTGTTTTGATTTTCTGAATAGTCATATAAATTAATACATACATACTATGAAATGTTACTAATTGCAAATGCTACAATTTTCTCTTTTGGGCCATAAACTGTCTGCTGAGTAATAATTGAAAAACGACTTCTCTAAGTAATTATATAGATGAAATTCTTAAAAAAATGTCGAAACTATGTTGTGAGGATTTAATTTAGAGCTTCGGTAAAAATATGCTATCACTTGTTTGTTAGTTGTCAATGTGGCCACACTTTCCAAGCTACGAGAACAATACCATACAAAACTTGTTTCTGCACACTAACAGTAAACCACGGAATATCATGGCCAAGCAGTAGACGGTGACGTAGTTGCCACTTGAGTAGAAATATAAATGAAGCCTGCAGTTAGCGCTAAAGGGCAGTAACACCGCAAGTGCAACATAGCCACTGATGCTGCCGATACACTTGCCGCAATTGAAGAAGTTGAATAGCTAGTCCCATGTGTTTTTGTAGGAATCTCTACAACCATATCCCAAGAGACAGAGAAGAACTAGTTTCAATTTGAAGTGCAAATAAGTGGCGGTGACTTATGCTTGAAAGCGAAGAAAAGCAAGAGCTCGGGTTGATAATGCACAGCTGGATGCAGACACGTTGCGGCTTGCCGTCACATTTACTTGTCTGACAGTTTGTTGGTTTAACTTATTGTCAACTTGTGGCAAAGGCATTTATATTGGCCCTTTAACTACATTTAAATGGAATATGTTGAAAATTAAAATTTAAAAAATTACGGCGGTAGGCAAATGCCATTAAATTTTGTTTTTTAACCGTTTACTATTGAAACGATTCGCCGGAATCCTTTTATTAGTTCTTTAGCAGTTCTGTAGGTTTATTTACATTACTATATACTATAGTAGCTCTTGAATTAAGCTTAACGAAAGTCTGTAATGTGTGAAAGTATAGTTTTATAAAAAGATCAAAAGATCGTCTAAGAGATGGCCAAGTCTCCTTTGTTTTACTTTCAGTTGTGCTACTCACTACAAGAATTTAATTCGTATAAAGTTTTTGTTATTTTCTGGAAATTGCCATTAAAACTTAAACCACAGAGTTACAAGTAAACCAGCATAAATTGAAAATAAATCACAAAAATAATTAAATTCTTAGTGATTTATTTATTTATTCTCTTGTTGGAACGACCTACTGACTTCAAATGGTTTTATGTAAATTCTTGAGATGCCTGCAAGTAGTTAAGCTGACAGCGTACATAAAATAGTTAACAAATTGAAATACTAGAAACCCAACTAATCTGTATGCTTCAAGATGCAGATGCTACAGTGAAGCAGTGTTGCTTTGAGATAAAAATGCAAATTCTAAACAATTTTCTCCAAATAAAAGTGATGATTATGCGCTACAAGCACAGCAAAAGTGAATTATTTCAAAGAATTTGTCTAACCACTGAAACTGTTAACAGATTGAGATTCACAGTAAGATTCAGATTCAGAACTAAAATGTGTGACAAGAGAAATAAGAACAACCCAAACACTTTAGGAAAGCGGTTAGCTGTTAAACTGATTTACTACACTTCTGACTGCATTAGGCTTCAAACAGTATTCGTTTCAAACAGTTTTTTCAAACTCACAATTAAGTACTCGTAGCTGTTATTAGCTCGTTAACCTCTCGGCTATAAATTAAAGATGTGGGCGTTTCTATTTAAACCAAATTAATTCAATTTACCGAACAATCAGTACATATAGAAACCTGTATGTTGCCTAGTCTTGCCACTGCGCCGTCGTAGAGCATCGCAGAGCGTATGTCAAGAAGTTTCACATTTTAGCCCATAGTCTCGGCATTTTGTCACTTTTCTTCGCTCAATTTTTGCTCTTAGACGTCAGACAATTTTTAATTAATTTTAAATGACTTTATTTCACATTATTTTTTATCGCAACGCGTATGTGACAGTGATTTTTAGGTTAATAAAGTATTTAAATGACTTTCATAGCGTTTTCATTTTGTTTTACTCACGCAATCTTAGATTCACTTTCTGCTTTTCGCAGATACATATTCGCAAAGAATTAAGCTCGTAGGAGGCATGGAATATCGTTATTAATTATGATTCACTTCTGTTCTGTGGCTGATTCGTACGCAGAAAGTGAAAACCTCTGCGTGTTTTAGGTTTGGTTTCCGAATTTGGGTCAAAAAAGCGAAAACTCAAAACAAGAAAAAGTTCGCATTTGCAATGAAGACGTGTCTCATCTAAACCCTTGATGGGATTTCGTTGACTTTCCTCAAAGTCATACATAGGAAGTTGAATAATGAAAATGAAAAAGAATAGCTTAAATATCTGTAATTATTATTAATACTTATTAGATATAATTGTCAATTCTTATATGTAGCATAAGACTTTGTAATGTCTGCAACTTAAGTTGAAGCTTTTGGAAAGTTGCAATAGGTCATCTGTTCACACTGAATGTAATCGTATGAGGTCCAGTTTTTCGATATGAAAATATAATAAACTATTGTTTAAAATCTTCAATGTTATATTGTATATACTTATAATTTTAGGCAACAAGATAGATCATTCACAATTAATATTTATATAGTTAACATAAAAATTAAAATGAAAATTTTCTATTGTAGTCTCAAAGTGTAATAATTTATTTTTGCCTCTCCGAAATAGAAAGAAAAATTATAAATTATATCAGTTAATTATTAAGATTTCTACATCACCATAAAATTAAGTAGCAAGGAAGAGATGCATAATAATTCAATTAACTGTAAGGTTGAAGATGAAGAGAAAGATCCAAATACATACGAACAGATGTCATCCAGTGAGGGATCTCAAGACTTTGATCCTCTATATCATACTTTCTACGCTGGGGGGGTCTATCTTATTATCGTCAACATTATAATGTGCCATAAAGCATTCTCCGCTTCTATCATATTAGCTTTATGTCTCAAGTATTAAAGTCCGTTGAGCTTTATTTTTATCACTCTATCTGTTTCCATATAGATTGTGTGGAGATCATCTTCGGCGTAGTGTTTTCAGAACTACATTGACTCACATATGATGTCAACAATTCTGCATAGAATTCTTTTATTTTAAAGTTTAAATCTGGAGTCCATGCATTCTAATAAGACAATTGCTGTGTATAGCAGTATTGTAGGTGTTACTGAAATACATATATACATATATTTACAAAAAGGCCCAATGGACTTTGTTGGATTTTTTCCCCCTCTTATTAATTTATGCATGTTAATTCAATTATCATATTTGATCGTAAGTTGATCATATAGCAGTTAAATACTTTTACTACTATAAACTATCGCCCTTTTTCGGATTTTAATTACTGTCAGAAATAAATATCACTTAACTTAAAGAAAGGCAGAGTTTTACAATGAGAATAGTTGCAATAGAGAAGTGATTCAAGTTAATGAAAGAGAAATAGTTAAAGTATAATAAAGCTGGAATAGGATTAGAAGATCAAATGAGCAACGTTGAATAAAAAGTAGAAAGGCACAATTGAACTAAAGTAAGTGTGTTAAAAAAAATTTATTCAAAATACTAAAATTAATCAAATACACAATGAAATAAATAGGTTAGAACTAAGAACAGCATAATTACCCTATCTTCTCATTCCACAAACTAACTTCTCGATATTCAGGTCACTATATTTGCTAAAGGAGTTCGGAAAGTGTAGACAACTCTATTTACTATCAATATTATGATTAATTCAAGTACATAATGAGACAAATAGGTTAGAATTAAGAACAGCATAATTACCCTATCTTCTCACTCCACAAAGTAACTTCTCGATATTCAGGTCACTATAATTGCTAAAGGAGTTCGGAAAGTGTAGACAACTCTATTTACTATCAATATTATGATTTTTGTTTAAATACCGTAAAACACTAAAAGACAATCTAGTCCTCACCAATGATGGCAGATTGTTGATATGGACACATAACTGCAGGTCAGTGAAGCATACCTCATTTCCACTCAATTAACTTAAATTTTTATTGCGCTTAACAAGTGACTAATCCATAGAGAATTGTGAGATATTGACAGTTTCAGTTCATTAAATTATTTAAATAATATATTTGCCAGTTATTTGTGGAAAAGCAGTGAAGTGCATAAACGAAGGGAACGGCTTATTTACCTTCGGGTTAATTAAGAATTTCAGTACAGAGAACATTTAAATTTTACAACGTTACAGATTGACACTTAAGGAGATTTTGCAATTTTGTGACAACCATTCTTTCATTCTTTCCTTTAGAAAGATTTTAAATTTCTATACAATTTCCAGTGTTTTTTATTTGTTCAAAATCTGTTCTATTTGGAAGAAATTGCTTATAAACAAGATAAGTACTAATGAACAATTTGTCAAATAGTTCATTTCTTCTGATGCAAAGTATTCAGTTGAATAATTGATAGCAATTCATTCAATTTGTTGCTGGCAAATGTTCAACATTAAAGATGTTTATTTGAAAGCATTCAGTGTTAATTATAATACAGATACTTATTACATTAGTAATCCCAGCAAGTCTAAACTCAATCTGCTACTTAATGCCACATCCTCAATTTAGTGTTTGACATGCGTTTCTTACTTTAATTGGCTATGACTGCTCTCAGGTGTTTTGCCTTTCTCCAAAGATTATTCTGCCTCTTTGATTTCCTTCGTAATCTAAAGATTCTTTTTACTTAACTTGCTGAAAGTGTTCAGAATTCGTTTAATTCGTGTTCATTATTTGCCATCCAACCTAGAGGATATTAGGTTATAGTTACTATTTCTGAAAATAGTCTTTGTAAGACTACATAGGTTTGCAAGCAGCCTCTTTCTGTCAAAAATTGTGTACTATCGATATAGGCTTTTTTGACAACTTTGACTTGTTTTTTGATAAATTCATTAATGGCTTCTAACTCTATGCAGACTTTTCCTTTTTGGAGGTTTATTTTGGACAGAAATTATATTTTACATTATTTTCTTCTTCACAAAGACTTTCAGATATCAAATTCTTGTGCCTCCATTCCTTATACCCTAACATAGATGATTCCATGAAGTTACACAGTTATTTTAAATAATATTTATATTATATATCCTTGATATATCCTTGAGAGTATAACCTTCATATTCTCGTCTCTCACAATATTAACATCAAACTTCTGTATCATCCTAGCTCCGAATAAGAAAGAAAAAAACACAAATTTAATAACCAATCATTTTTGTATTATTAGCCATACATTTCTACTACTCTTTGTAATTTTTTATGTATCTATTTATAACAAAGCCCATTAATCAGCAAGATTGTATCTTATGTAAATAAATAATTGATTGGATTTGTTTTCATTTTTAGAGTGATTATAGATACTTCGAAGAAGAACATTTTTATTGATTATAATTGATTTTGATTTGTGTGATTTATGAAAGTTATTAACAAACCGTCATTTAAAAATATTACCTGAACAGTTCAATTGTCTTATACTTCAGATCTTTGCTTTTAATAAAATTCTCTTAATTTGATTAGATTGTGGAACTTTAGTAATTGTAGGAAATTAATTACTAAAATTAATAAAAAATATCTATTTAACATAAACATGTTGCCTTAGTGTGGAGAGAGTGAAGTTTTTGATCTACAACCTTATTAAAATCAAATTTAATTCATCGAATTTACTTTGAATTTCAACTGAATTGCTTGTACTTCTAACTAAAAACGACTGAATATTTATTTTCTTAATATCAAAAAGTAAAATATATATTTAATTGTGTGTAAAAGCAAATATATGATTTTATTTATTTATTAAAAGCTATATAATTCCAATGTATGTTCCATATGTTAGAACTGTTTAAATGGAAACACCCGTATTGATGAAACCTTTGGAATAAAACGAAAGTTCGCAGAAAAATTATATTAAATTCTCTCCTACTTACAACAACTACACAGACTACACCTGACTATCTGTAGGCTAGGATTAAGTGCGATAATTGATTGATAATTAATTATTACAGCAATTGTACATTCAATGTCATTAAGAAAGGTCGCGTTGAGGTATAGTTACTATCAACAATTTGGAGTTTGCTATTTCATAATATATGTATATGTAGACATAACGATAGCACTGGATATTCACAAACAAATCGATGCGATCTCTGCTTTTGATATCCATTTCATATAAACTACTGACTACTGCTGAGGCCCTATGCTCCACTGGCATTTAATAGGACAAAGAGGAAGAAGAAAACTGACTGCTGCTGAGCAAGGTTTCATAATTTTAAAAAGGATAAAAGTTTTCAAGTTTCCCCAAAAAGAATCAGAATAGAATCATTGTTAATCATCTGATAAGCACAATTACAATATGGAATATCCATTTAAATATGAAGTCCTCCACTTACGCTTTTATTATCCTACTTGTTTTCACAGACCATTTTATATATAATCTGAATATGTTTGATTTTTGAAAAAAAGTTAACATAAGAGTAACAATTTTCTTGTTTGTTTGAATTTGGACTCAATTTTCAAAGATAATTTAATAAATTTAGTTCAGGCTGTATATAGCTTAAATGTTGTTGTGGCGTTATTGTTCCCTACATTTTGTTAATCGTTTGAATTTTATTAAGAGTAGTTAGTATCATCCGAACAAATAACCGTGACCTTGTAGAAACTCCACACAAATATATAAATGGTAAATATTAACTTAAAAATTTTGTATCGTTTGTACTTCAGAGAGTTATGCATCAGCTCATCTATTATCCTAGGGCTATTTGTATGAACTCTTATATTTGGTTATTCCTAGCATCTTAATGGCAACTTGTTCTCATGAAGGCAATAAATTGGTGTTATAGATCATTGTCACATCTTAAATAGCATATGTATCTCATGAAACAAAACTACTGTGATTTGTTTTTCGCGGTATTACTAGGTATTCCTAGAGATTCTTATCATTGCTAAGACATTTAGGCTACATGAGTGTACATGTACAAATAACATTTTAATCAAGTCGACAAATTGCCAAGGGGCAGCATATTTTAGATATTTATTATACCAATAGAGGCAGAGAGATGCGTGCAATGAAATATCTTAAAATAGCACTTGAAGGAGCTTAGTAATTTATAAAGTTTATTTTATTTTAGTGGAATTCTATGAAGTAAATTTGATGGAAAACAATTCGCTTCAACACACATGAGTAGAGTACTATTTCCATAATAAAATTTATTTTATGACTTCCATATGAGAAGCAGAGGCAGAGAAAAGTACTTCTTCAGTTGCATAACTGCTTAGATAACTTTTCAGTGCGCAATCGTAAGATGCCGTTTTCACTTTATAACGGAAACGCAATGCAAAAGTACAAAATCCTACCAGAGCAGAGTTCAATGAACGTTTGAGTATTGAATTGCAAAAGTGAAAAGCCTAAGAGAAGAAAACTTGAATGATGACAGAAAAAATGTCGAATACTAAGAACTTGAGATGACGCAGTAAAAGTGTCATACACTAATGAGGCACATAAGACATAGGTGAGGTTGAGGAATGTAAATTTAGTCTGCTGGATATGTGTGTATAAGTATTACAGTGCGGTGTTAATTTCACTACTAAGACGTTTATTTGCAGTGATTGCTGCCGCGGATAAGGCCTTAATACCACAAATAAATTATTGAAATAGTGTCGACCACACTTACATAATCAAATTATATGCTTTCATCTGAGTTTTCATATGTAATACATATGTAATACGCTTTATCACACATAACCCGGTTTGTTTTCATTTCTGTCACAGTTTTAAATGAAAATCAAAAGTAGCAAATAATCACTACCAACCTCAAATTACTGGTTCTTATCATTATCAACACTATTAATAAGGTATAAATTCCAGAATTAAGTGCTCAAAAGTGAAACTTCTGGACAAAGTCGACGCCTACTTTCGTCTCAATATGCTTTTGACACATAAACATGGCAATATCCACTGAATTAATTTATTTGATTTTGTTTTTTCTTTTATTTTCCAGCAAGCAACTGAAGAAAATAGTGCGTAAGACCAGCATCGATATGCCACGATTTGAAGTGTATTGCTTGCTACTGTTGTGCGTCACAACAGCAACAGCAAGACACTCCCGTACTAATGCAACAGCAACTTTGATGCCAATTCTTGCTGCTGGTGACAATTTACATGATGCTGAAAGCGCTCCACCAGCACCGAAGCACCCATCAACTGCCGCTTTACCGCACTTGCAGCAAGCAACAGTGGAGCAGTCGCGAACTGATAAAGTTGTTGCAATTGAAAGTGCAGCGAATGCTTCAGAGCAACACGACAAGAATGCAACTGCTACATCAATAGCAACAACGGGTCGCAAAGGCTCCGCTGACAGCCCGACTAAGAAAAACCAATTACCCAAGCAAGAACAGAAGACGCCAACAGTTGATGAACGCCCTGAGCAACGACAGAATGCCAATTATGACATCAACAACAGTCATGAGGACAACGGCAACAGCAACAGCAACAGCAACAGCAACGCCAATTGTGAGCCTGAAATGGTTGGCTTCGAAATTGTAACTGGGTGAGTTGTAGACTATGGACTTGCAACTATGCAATGATTTCGGTTTTTAGTTAATGGAATATTACCAAATTGGCATTGAATAGCTTCAATTGTGTTATTGCAGTAGCGTTTTCAGTCGCAATACATTTATGAAATGCCGATTTTTCAATAAAAAATGAATCGTAATTTATCATTTATATTGTAAGCTACTAATTTAGTCGCGAGTCCTTAAGCAAAATTACTAGAACATCACTTTGTAAGGTATATTATTAGTTGATATGCATACTGAATACTGAAGTATATAGATATGGATGGGTACTTTTATTGAAGGCATTTCATTAAAAATTAACTTTGCAACAAAATTTTATAATTCCATTAAGTCCCAGACCACACCCTCTTATTTCATTAAAAAGTACTGTGTATTGGAATTCCCTTTTAATATTGTTCAGTCTGAGTTTTCTACATAACTCATACCCATTTCGATAATAAATATCTAAAATTTTCATACAATATCTTCTACATCACTTTTAGCTACGTTTTCTCAGCACCAGATAGATTACTGGATTCCATGCCTGGTACTCTAATGCTGACTGATTGCTTAGATGCTTGTCTGAATAACGAGACTTGTCATGCTGTTAACTATGAAACTGGATTATGCGTACTTTTTAAAGCGAATGCAGATCAATTACCAGGTAAGCCTAGTCACTCTGCTATACAAAAACTTATTTCATAATGAAATACTGAATAATTTGATCAAATCTTTTAGGTGCTCTCACCAAGTCTCAGTTCCCTGTTTTTACAATTTATGCACAAAAGTCCTGTCTGGGTGTGAAGCCATGTTCACGCTCATGGTGTGTAGATCGTGTGCAAGATTATAAATTGAAAGGATATCCTAAACAATCGTACACTGTAACATCAAGAAGGGATTGCATGGAACTGTGTTTGGGTGAAACGGAATTCGCCTGCAGGTGAGATAGTTTTTAACTTAACAAAATTGTTTGTGGATTTCATATTGATTGACTAAATATAATAGCATAATTAAGCACTTTAAATGAATCTCGCATTTCAAAATTTTGCTTCTAATAATAGCAAAACTATCTTACAAAAAAATATATGAATCTTCATATAAGTTAAAAATTCCATCAGTAGTGAAAATACGATTAGATATGAAAATTACCTCTGCACAGATATTTTTTAAATCAAAATTATTTTAAATATTATGCACACATCATGATATAAAAAGTATTCAGACTATTTCTACAGTCCCTTCATAGGAGGACAATTCAAAAGGCAAGGTAAGTTGCTAGGTTATCTCTATTAACAAAAATGATCAAAATGATTCATTATATGGCTATAGGTTTTAATTATTGTATCAGTAGCTAAGAAGACTTTATGTTAGAACAATATACATAAATATCTGTAAATTTAGCAAAAGTAATAAATCAGATCCAGATCCCAACTTCAGGTATTATTACTCCCTATTATTAGACTCTCTAACTACAAGTTGTTGAATACTTTTTATAAAATCAATTTTGCTTAAATGCAATGATGAATATTAAATATGGCTATGTTGAAAACTTAAGCACAGTAAATTCTTTTTTATTGATAGAAGCTTGAACTGCAGATACCCGATAACCATCAGGGAGAAAATAATCTGTAATAAAAAATGTGAAGAAATCTGATTGGAATCTTGTTAATCCTAGCAGTCTAATATTTTGTGTATTCTACTGCGTTAGAAAGAAGAACAATTCGAAATATTTTTCACAACTCGAATTGCAATTTATGCTACCACAACCCAATAACATAAATCCATGCGGTGGCCGAATTATTGCTGCACTTTTGCGCACTTGTGCGATTGCACAAGGCCAGCGCGTGACCCAACATAAAAGTGGCAAAGCTGCAGAAAATGCAACGCAGATTAAGCCGCTCGCCAGCCCCATGATATATTAAACGCGCGTTGCTACCAAACAGCAATTCCCGTTGCAGCAATAAAACAAGCTCGATGTCAAATATTTTTAGGCAAAACAGAAGAACTCCAGCCGCACTCACAACTAGCATTTGAACGTTAAACGTTAAACGTTAAACGTTGCATCTGCAGACTGCATTCTGGCAAACAAATAAATATCGCATAAATGTGTTTAAAGAATTTGAGCTGCCACCAACAGCAATGGTTGCAACCTGTTGGTGAAATTTTGCCACCAACACATTTATTGCAATTAAATCAGGCAATAAACTTTCTTTCAATGTGAAATGATCATGCAACTTACGAGTGCTAAGTTGCCAGTTGCCAATTGCCAGTTGCCAGTTGCCGGTTGCAGCATCGGCAATCGTTAGTTGTTGCTTCTTAGTTTCCAGTATTGTTTTAAATATTGTTTTTTATTATCGTTATTGATGTTGTTATTGTTCGGTATGACTTGGAATTGTTTGTAATTGCTGAAAACTTTGCTGCAAGTTTTATTTGAAGTTTTGCGCCGACATTGAACATTATAAATAACGCCAACGGTGACCTCAGTCAATAGTTTTGAAAAGATTCTCCTTTGGTATTTGGTAAAGGAGTCGAATCGATGTTTGGGGGAGAGTAGTATGTAACAGTCACTTGAGAAGATATGTTCCAAGTGTAGGATTTTTCAATACATAGTAATATAATAGAATAATGGTATAAAATTGTAACCAAAGGTTTATTCTTCATGCAGAAATATAATTACAAAACTGCAAGAACTACTTATATTCAAATTTTTTCTGATTCTTTATTAAAATATAAATAACCAACTGTAAAATTTTGAATTTATTTATCGACCTGTTTCAGTAATGGTTTTTATATATTTTCTTATCCGGCTATATCCGACGAATATTTTCTAATATATTCTATATTTCTACTCTCCTTAAGAGTTATCATCAGGATCATGATCTGACATAAATTAATATTAATAAAACTATATCTATATCATACTCTTTATTCTATTATCTATATTTCAATAAAGATATTCTGTTCTATATAAATATTCTATTCTATTAAAAATGTATTTTTTGCGTCTTATATTTTCTAATTCATGAATAGTTTTTGACAAAAAACTTTATAATATAGTTTCAAGCTTAATAGACTCAAATTAAAGTTCCTTCATTGGTTTGTTGTCAAACCCAGACAGAAAAAAAAAGCCTAGTCACGGTCCCAATCGATTTGTGTGAGAAAAAGCTGTTTTGTGAAAGAAAGCACTTCATAAAAATTGTGAATTAATGTCATGCAGATTTAGATTTAAATATATTAAGTCCAACTACAAATCATAGTTCTATATGACCATCAATTACTATCCTTAGAATCGTTCTCCAACTCTATACTATAAATACTTTAGAGATATTTCTTACACTTATTTTGTTTGTATTTATTAGAAGTTGTTATTTATTCATATAAATACTTTGGAGTTATCTATAGAAAAACTGCTAGGTGGTTTTGTTTATTCTATCTTACACAGAAAATCAGAAAATCTTATTGGTCTCCACAGATACCAGAGTACTAACAGATAACTGCAATACCTTGTGGCACACTCCCAATTTAATGGTTTCTTTGAGTAATGGTGAGCTAAACTTAAATGCACCAATTTATGGTATATATGTAAATAATCGAATAGAGAAAATGTTTGGAGTTGTAAAAAATGATTTAGGTTCCCGTTGAAGTCATATAAAAACAGTTAAGTTAAGTATCTTGTGTAAAAGTATTGTATGACAGTCAGAATTAACAACCCGGCTGTTGACAATTGACAGCTGCAAACATCAAAGATCAAATTAAATTGACATGAAAAATGGAAGCCAGGAAGCATTTCGAGCATAAATCATTTAAGTGTACTTAGCGGACTGGAAACATAAATTATGTGCAATATGCAGAAGACAACGCAAATGGGCGAAAACAGCAGCAAATCTGAACAGGGAGTAGCGATCAGTTACGCAATTGCAAGATCAGCACAGGCCGCTGCTATATAGAATGCTAGAAATCGCACAGATAAATAATAAAAATAAATGCAAAATACTTGTACGCTTGCAGCATCCAGCGTTCAGCAGTCAGCATACCTTGCATACGAGTGTGGAGCTTATGTTGCAAGGTTGCGCGTTAAATGCACAAATGTACAAGAATTTTAAATGCACACAAATAAAATTACGATTAATTTATTGCAGTTGCAGCGTAAATGTGTCAGTAGTGAATGCCGCCGCATACAACATGTGATATGCTCACAAAAGCAACAAACAAGAAGAAGCAAATGTTGCAATTGCACCGTTACGTAGGCAAAGTGTAACTGAAGTTCTTGACCGACACCGCAATGCAACGAATGCGAATGCGAATGCGAACGCTAGTGTGAGTGTGAGTGCGAGTGCAAGTACCGCATTCGAATACTGGCTGTATGGCTATTGGCCATTAGCAGGAAACATCGTATCGCTGGCCTTGTTACAATTTACTTTATTTTATTTTATTGCAGACACTTTTCAGTGTTTGTGTTGCCTGCTTTAATGATCACTTTGCTCTGCTCTCTGCTCGCTGCCCGCTGCTCAGATTACTTAATGGGTCTTGTTAAGTGATCAAGTGATCAAGAGATCGTTTAACAAATATCGATCCCATATATTATTATGCATGCACCAACCAGAGAAGTTTACATTGTAGCGGATGCAGCGGATTTCGCAAACTACGTCCATGTGTTGTAATTTATTTTTATGTAAAATATGAGTTGCCCTTAAGCCTTGCGTTGTGAAGCAGCTAATGATACGTGGACAATGGTGCGTCTGTAAATATGGGAAGGCATCGCATTTCATATATCTATCGATCTATCTATTACGAAGCAGCCAGTTAACGTCATGATAAGCAACGCCTGTTAACTGAACAAATTTTAAAAAACTACAGCTGCCGTTGAAATATAATAAATAATCGAAAACATAGAAACCGTTTCCCCTGCTTTTCGAACAGTTAAAAAATGATTTATTGACAGTTATTGGAGAGGTTAAATACTTCCTGATTATAAAAAAAAATACATTAAACCATATATGATATATGATTTTTACGATTCCGACAAAGTTAATAAGTCATTAAACGGCTGGAAACGGCTATTTTGTCATTCGGATTAAGTCGGGTCTTAGTACACACCCACATAATTTTAAAAAATATTAGAAAATAAGCAATAGTCTTTTTTTAGAAATATTAAAAGTCTATGCTATTATTACAGAAGATGAAAATCGTTATTAGATCTTTAAAAATATTTATTGTAAACGTAAATTACTGTGATTGAGACTTTGGTTAAATATTGTTTGCAATTATTTGTTTAAACTTAGCCATTAAATATAAACTACAAATCATTCAAATGTTTTTCACTTGACTTGACTCACTGGAACCATCACTGACTGGAGCATTTTAAGATAAATTTTGAAGACTTATCGCATATAGTAGCAATTACGCGACCACGACTTGTGGCATGTTCTTTCCCAAAGCGTCGAACCTCCTAAAAGATTAAAAATTTTCGGAATTTTCGGGAAATTTTCGTAAATAGGGCTACCTGTTTTGTAAATATAATGCTAGAATATCTAGAATTAGAATACAATTAAAAATAGCGTTCTTTTGTAGCGACATACGTTTTTCACCATTTTTAGTTTTTTAAAATAGTCTGAATGAACTGGCATACCACAAATTTATATGTCACTAGTACTACCAAGCTGACAGTTTAGCCCGCTCTGGTTTATATTAGCCTAGAGACCATTGAAAGAAGTACCTTCCTTTACTTACTGCAACTTGCCAATAACAGATGAAAAGCACTTAGGTCATGTGCGACTTCCAGATTTACATGGAAATCACGCAGAGAAACTGCGCATTCCCAATAACCCTCACTACAGAAGTTGTGGAACCCGCAGGAGAAAGAAACAATAATACCTTTTCTCTGTGAATGCCCGATCTTAGCGTTCAGAAGATATAGGTTCTTAGGAAAACTCTTCTTTGATAGTCAGACTGCTCACCTATTACATTATCTAAATTCGTCGGGATGGATTTAGTCTCCTATACTACGGTTCTTACGACGAATGTGGTAGCAAAAGGGGGAAAAATCGGTATTTGAGTTACATGGAAGTTATCTAATGGGCTGCCGCTGCAACCAACCAACCACTAGCATGAGTATTTGGTTTTAGTATCTTTCAATGTATTTGTTATTACAACTTTTTCTAAGTTATTAAGCTATTCTGTCGTCTCATTTCTTTTATTTACTGAAAAATTTATGTTTCAGTAAATATATATGTTTTATGAAAATGTAAATACAGGTTTATATTTGCTTGTATAGCACGCCATACCGCCTACCAATTTTAGATAGTTTGGAACTCCAGAACAAATAGACTTTTAAATATACAAACAAAGATGACAACTATGAAAACCATCGGAAGCGTTAAGGCCTGAATTTGAGACTTATGGAAGTCCTAATATATGCAGTATCACAAGCCCTTAGTCTTAGTTGATAATATGTTTCTACGGTTTGTAATCACAGACTACGATTCTTATTTAGATTTGTGCCATGCATAAGTTACTGTTGAAATTGGTAAGTTCGCAAGATGAAGTTGCAGCATTCCAAGTATTTTCTAGATTTTGTAGTTGTAATCAAAGCAACAACACGTATTTCCCATTTGTGGTTTTAACATCAAATGTGTGCAATTTAGCGATTGCGTGCCACAATGCGTGTTGCAGAATTTGTGCAATACACCACATTCACTGAGCTGCAAGGTTATAATTTAGCACAATTCCGTGTCCAGCAAAGTCCGTTAGTACTATTCCCAGAGCAATTTTGACAGCAACAACTACAATCCAAGGGAAATAATGTATGTTAAGTTTTCTAAGAAAAAAGAATGAAAATTCGAACTTGCAACTTGACTGCAAGGCAGTTGTGGCATTGCAGCATGTGAAGCGCCTTTAAAAAATTCTAAATTCATTTGAAACCAGTGACGTGTTTTACTCAAATTTTTTGTCAGCAACGCGTTTGTGTCTGGAGTAGGAAGGCGTGGCGCCTTACTGGCATTGAACTTTAAATATAATAAATTATGATTTATATCATTATTAGAATTTATTTAATTATAAACATACAACTCATACTCATCGTAGATCGGCAAATTACAATCGAGGCACGAAAACATGCGAGCTTTCCGAAATGGACCGCTTTACTTTGTCTGGAACCACTGCATTCCAGGCCAGCGCTGGCAACGATTACCTTGAGAACAACTGCGCAGACGAGCCAAACAAATTGTGTGAGTTCAAGCGCTTATCCGGTAGAATCTTAAAAACTGTCGATTCCGTATATCAGGACGTGGCCAGCATTGAAGAGTGTCGAGATCTGTGTTTAAGTACACCTTTCAGGTGAGTACATACTCGTTTATTGCAGTTCTGTATGCAATTGAGCACATCAAAATAAGTTAAGTTGAGCTACTACGACTAATAAGTAGAAGCATAGCTAATAACCACACGCAATAGCAGCAAGCCAAGTAAGTTATTAAACGGGATTATTTAGTAAAATTCATAGTGAGCGATACTGCCACTTGTCATGTGTGCAAACTGCCACTGATTTGTGTAATGAAAGTAGATTTATAAGATTAAATAAGTTAATTCAAGTCGACTGTATTCACTTTGATATGTAATATGCATAGCAGACACTCATAATGATGATTTATGCGTTATTGTATGCAAGCACGAGACTGGAGAAAATGATTAATACTTTTATTTAATAGTCTGAATATATTAATTCTTAAGCGCTTAATAAACAACATAATAAAAAAAATATTTTGCAGATGCCACTCATACGATTACGGCGATACTGGTGATATGGTTTGTCGTCTTTCCCATCATAATCGTGCCACTTTGACTGACATACAAAGTCCTTACTTAGATGTACCGGAAGCAGCTACTTATGAACTGTCATCTTGCTACAACGTGACCATCGAATGTGGTGCAAGTGATATGATAACACGCATCCGTACCTCCAAACTATTCGATGGCAAGGTGTACGCCAAGGGCGCACCAAAATCCTGTGCTGTGGATGTTAGAAGTGCGCTTGATTTCGAAATACGCATGGGTTATCAAGACTTGGAGTGTAATGTGCACCAGAGTGGACCGGGGCGTTACATGAACGAAATTGTCATACAACATCATGACACAATAGTCACTTCATCCGATTTGGGTTTGGCAGTTACTTGCCAATATGACATGACCAATAGATCTGTAACGAATCATGTAGATTTGGGTATCAAAGGTGATATTGAACCAGCACTGTCCGAAGAAGTGATTGTCGATTCACCGAATGTTATAATGAAAATTACTTCACGTGATGGTTCTGATGTGATGCGTATAGCTGAGGTCGGTGATCCATTGGCACTCAAGTTCGAAATACTTGACGAGTTGAGCCCTTATGAAATATTTGTACGAGAATTGGTTGCTATGGATGGTGCTGATAACGCAGAAATAACACTCATCGACTCAAGAGGTTGTCCAACAGATTACTTTATTATGGGCCCTATATATAAGAGTACTACATCCAATAAGATTTTGCTCTCACATTTCGACGCTTTTAAGTTTCCATCTTCCGATTTAGTACAGTTCCGAGCATTGATAACACCCTGTATGCCGACTTGCGAGCCAGTGCAATGTGATGATGATGATATGACTGGAGGTTACAGGCCATTAACTTCATATGGCCGCCGAAGACGATCGGTTAATATAACTGGTAAAACTGAATTTTTTTTTATTATAATACTTCCTTATTAGGACTTTCCTACTTTCTTTCTAGCTACTTACCCAGATCTACGTAACAGTCGAGCCCTACGTGAAACTAATAAAAAGACAAATCTAGAGAACATGCTCTTAGTGCAATCAATCAAGATTACAGATAAATTTATTTTCGATAAACAAAAGGGATTAAAAGCAACTGATGCCGAAGAAGAGATATTAATTTCCAGCGATAGTTTAAGAGGGTTCTGTATAAATGGCATTGGTAGGTTTTAACTTTATATGGTATGAAGTTGAAGAAATTTGAATAATTTTGTTTTTATTTTATCAATTTAGGTCTTGTTGTCGCTGGTACAATATTTTTGCTGGCTCAGTTGGCAGTAATTGCTATTTGGACTTTCCTTTATCAGAGACGTAAAAAGGAACGTGGCTACTCTTCGAGTAAAGATCATAAAAGTAACTCCTCAAATTTTTCCACGCAAAGCAGCTCCACGAGGTCGAAAATTGCATCTAACGGACGCGCTGAGTCTTTAAATAAATTGTATGATAGTGGCTTCGCTGGCCGTCATGGACGTCATTTTTGAGACTTATTAGATATAAAGTACACATCATCAGTTTAGTTCACTAATAGCGTCAAATTTCATATGCCAATAGTTTTTATTCAAATATTTAAAAATTCTTTAATTTGAGTCCACTACAATATTTTATAAATATTGCTAGAGTAAAAAATTTAAAAATAATTATGGAATTTCTAAATTTTTTGCTAAAGATGGCAACATCACAAAACAAAAATAAATTTTAAAATAAATTAATTAGTATAAGTCGACTAGTCATAAGTACTTACATATAGTTTAAATTATTTATCGAACTAATTTATTTAAAAAATAATATAAAAATAAATTTACTCATTAATAGTCATTTGTTTTTAAATGGAAGAATCTTTATTTCAATGGTAAAAATTATAAATTTGGAAAGACAGGATTGAAGTCGGATATTTTGTTCACCTACTCCACGATTATCAAAAAACAAGCTTAGAGTCGATATTTCTTAAGCCAAAAAGATTAGAAATATTGATATTGTTTGCCTTATCAATTATCTTAATTTGCCCAGATTAGCCTAAGTGGCCTACTTACTCCAGAAATCTTATCATAGATCTCATATGACGCGTTGCATTATTGTTTCTTTTAATAGCCAAAATAGCACATTTTATATAATAAGTATTTATAATACATAATTGTATAATATATAATTTTTTATAGTTCTTACCATTTGCTTCCATGTTTATACTCATAACACTATTTGTGCATGATCCTACAGTCGATAAATAAATGGCTGTGACAAATCACAATTAGCTTAAGTAGTTCTATACAATAACCACTAATAAAAATTATAGCAAGGACAGGGTTTTGAAAATTTTGCAGGAAGCGGCAAGAGAGTTACATGCGAGTCTCAATTTTGCTATTACAACGCTTAACCCTTCAGATCATTGGACTACAGAGTACCCAAGTGGATATAAGCAAGCAGTCCGCAGAGGGAAGGGAGTAAATATGCTAGATGATATTAACTGCAAACAAATAGCAACATTCACACTGACTAAAGATGTCTGATAGTTTAAAAACAATAGAGTGTCGTTATGTTATCATAGATCCATAGACAGAAGGATGGAAAGGTGGTAAAGAATATTAACTTCAAAAAAAGAATAACAAAAAGATGTAATGTAATTTAACAATACATATAAAATTGGATTGTTATGAATTTTAAAATTATTATATGATTTTTTTGGGGTTGAGTATTTTAAACCAATATTTATTTATGCATCTAATATTTTTAAGAGTTATATTATAAGTAAGTAATTAAATATAAAATAATAGAATATAATATTGAATATAGCTAATATAGCATACTTAATTACAAACTTCATAACGACTTATTGATTTTTTCAGTACTAATAATTATCATAACTGAAAAGTGCTAACAAAAGATTAGATCTTTAAAATGCAGGAAATGAACAATCTACAGGAATAGATTATTTTATTAAGTATACTAAACTGCTATTATAACATAATAGATATTAATTTCATTACCTAGTAATTACAGTAATGGCGGCTACATAAACATTTGTATTTTCTTATTATCGTTATTATTTTTTTGATTTACAACAGAGAAAAAACACATAAATGATTGAATAAAAATTAATTAGAAGGAAAATATAATTATTGAACATATGTTGCTTTTTATATTGCTATTGAATTATAATTTCCCACCACTATACATGAATATAGGAAATTAGTGACAACACATATAATATAAGTCTTTGTAGTATTCGAAATGCCATCAAGTAGATCGAACCATTATTCGAGTACCCGTTCTTACACGAGTATTAAAGAAAAGTATGAGTTGAGCTAATTGATTTATTGGTACTATTCGCTCATTTTTATATATTCCGGGTATTTAAAAACTTAGAGTATCGAAATTCGTTGTCACATCACCTATTTTATTAGAAGTTCTCAAATCCAATACAATGAATATAGTCAGAGAAACTTTGATATATGAGAACGTAAGAATTAAGCAGGTAAAAGATTTTGCTTAAAGAGAGTGTGTTAAATATAGCAGATTAAAATTGAGAGCAAATAAAGTAATAACGTCCCGGAAATATATTGACTTTACTTGGTTCTGAGAACTATACTACTGTATTTATTGAAACGAGGCATAAATTATAAATTCACTGCTGTAGCACTGTACTGTATGATATTATTTAAAAAAAATATTGGTTAAACATTAAAAATATTTATACCCAGATGTTATACTGTTATAAACTGTAATATAAATGTTCGTTGATCATATTTTTGTTGTTTTACCAAATAGTTTTTAACTACAGTTAAGATGTAATTTTTGTAATTAACTTGAGATTGTGTACATGTATGTATGTAATGTATGTAAAAGTAAGTAGTTTAAAAATTTTTATAGTTATTATTAATCTCTAGAAAAAACTTAACTAAACTTCAAATTCGTTAATAGTAATTTATGGAAAAATAGAATTAATTACTAGACAAGAGTGGCCTTCCCTTGTCAATATAATATGAAGATTTTGAACCCTTTAACTGGTAAGTTTTAGTGACGGTGGAGTTTTCTTTACCTCTATATTATACTGTGCAAATAGCTATGAAATCTACTTCTTGCATTAATTAAGGGAATTATTCTTAGTATGTGATGAGGATATCTGCCAGGCTTATGAGTTGATAATCTTGTACTGATAATTAATTTACCATATGCTTTATTTTTTCATTTGATATATACCTAGAATGTATTTTCTTTTTTCATGTAATGTAGTACAGAGATAAATTAATAGTTTTAAGTCATATTTCCTCTATCTTACATATGTATATATGATATCTTCTCACAAAGTTTGGTTGATGTTTATGAGGACATACTAAAGTCCAAATTCTCAACTTTTAAAATGCAGATTTAATGTTTGTTGGATATATATCTCATTACTGAAGTTGTTTTCTAACTACTATTGCAAAACTTTTCTATTAATTTTTTTTTTTTGATCAATTCAAAAGTCTCTTAATTCATAAAATTAAACAGTGACGGACTGTTAGAGGTCCAGAGCCGCATTTATTATTAATTATGCAATTGCAAAAAGTTTAAATGCTTTCCTTTTCTTTGTTAGGAGCTGACAGAGATGGTTGATAAATTCCGCATTCATTTTAAGAAATCATTTCCTGCTTTATTTTTTCCAGCAATACCCGAGGCAAGTGCCAATGACTGTGCCAATTGAGTCCAGCAGTCGAAAAGGTTTGCTTAAATGTGGGCGTCTCTTAGGAAATCAATGAAACAAACATTGCAGCATCATAAGTGTAAGTAAGTAAGTAAGTAAGTACGTAAGTAAGTTTGCGTAGAAGCACGAGAGGCGGAAGAAGTTAAGTAAGATTTTATTTCATTGAGTACTTTTTGTCGTACTTGAAGCGAGTAAAAACAAGGAGAATCATTATGTAATCATAGCCACAGGCAGATATTTAGATTTTTCTTTTTAATTCCAGATACTTAAGCAGATATTAGTTTTTATTGAAGTGGTAACTGCAACGTTTGTTCTTGCAACTTGTAACGATTAATGATGAGAGGAATAATGAGTAACCTGAAATAGCTGAATACGGTTACGACTCTTTGTTTAAGTTGCCTAATAGTTTTATATCTTTGTTTAAGAATTAAGTTTAGAAAGCTGTTGGCCTTATCGCAATAGGCCACTTCAATATATCAATATATTCGGGCAATAATCTACGATATTCTAAGGTACTTCATTGTTATTTTATACTTTATATATAACATTTATGAAAAAGTTATAAAACAAAAGTACAATGTCATAGGCAATGTTAAAAATAATATGTAGTATCATGTTGTTATTGTTGTACGATATATATACTCCAGCAACCTCGAAAGGGTTTACAGAATAAGAATATATGAGTTAGAAAATAGAAAGATCAAGGGAAACGGAATGACGATGCGTTGCTTCGTACAAAGAATTTATGACGGGTAAGGAATGAAACTAGCCTGGTTGAAGGTGGAAAATCTCACCACTTTAATAGATCGAAATCAAAGACATAGTATCATAGTTTTATCTTATGGTAATGTACAAATTACATTATTTATATCTTCTTTAGATTATTTATCAATATGGCAGTACAATTAATATATTAAGGACATCTCTTAAGAATATGCTAGTTTAGTATAAAGACCACACAAAAGCACATTATATTTGTTGCAAAAACTTTTCACTTTACATTAGCAAACATTCCGACTTTATTGTAGACTTATTATAGATATTGACAATTTAATCTATAAGAATTTAGTTAGGTGAGTAGAAAAGACAGTTTGCAAATCTCTACTTATCTCTACTTATTAGTTAACTTTGTATATATGCTACCATCGATACTATCGATCTTTGACTTGTTTTCATTTGTGTTGAGGTCTGAGATAAACCCAGCTTAATAAATATGGTATGTCTTGTAGGATTTGAAGCAAATGTAAGATGTAAGTGTAGGCTCTGAAGTATAGTTTATCATAATGTCTTCTTCTGATAATTTTAAAATCTATATACTACTAGAAAATCTATATACTACTAAAAATAATATACAAACTATGCGTTAGGTGTCAACATATATTATATAAACTTCAAACCATCATCTTTAAAACAGTTTGTTATAAAAGAATATTTAATAGGGATTATAATATGAATTTTTCTGAAGTAATTGCTTGCATATTCCGAAAAATAATTTCTCAGTTGTTAAGTGAAAAAAAGTGACGTTACTTCTTTAAAAAAAGTCATGGGACTTTGAAATCAATGATTATTAATCACCTTTGAAGTATGTGGTTGGGTAACATAGGAAGCGAAAAATTTTATTAAAGAGTTACTATTTAAGTGAACCCTTTTATAACTACCAATCCCACTTTGGGTTATAAATCTGATTGATTTATCTTTAAATCAGCTGATTTACTACTCGTTTAGTAGGAGTTCATAAAGTTTTATCTTCTTCAAGTGAGAATAATTTCATTAGTTTTTCGTTTCTAATTTAATTATAATATC